TTCTGGTTGAGTTGCACTTGTTCGAGGTAAGTGGCTTGTCTAACCTTGTGTGGGGGACCTTTTCCCCTTAGGATTGATATTGTGGTAATTGAAATGCCTCGTACGTGAGGTGACGAGCGCGTACTTGTGCTAATTGTTGGAAATCCGGTTTTTCATTAAAAATAGCCTTGAATTGTGTTCTTCCTTTTCTTGCTTACACTGTTTGGAAACTAAACCTGCTGTAGCCTAGAGAAGCATGTCTACTTGACTAAATTGCTCTATTCGCCTTAACTGCCTTATTTTTATTACGTGAACCATGCTAGGTTAGGATTACCTGCTTCACTTTGATATGCAATTGATTGGATTGAATTCTTGATGTTGTTGCGTATTTACTTTGGGACTACGGGACGGTATCCCGGGAGCTCCCTGTATGTTTACTTTGGGACTACGGAATTGCATTCCGGGAGATCCCCCTACACTTTTACTTTGGGACTACGGGACGGTATCCCGGGAGCTCCCCTGTATTTTTACTTTGGGACTACGGAATTGCATTCCGGGAGATCCCCCTACACATTTATGAGTTGGACTACGGGACTGCACCCGGGAGATCCACTGGATATGATATTTATATTTGGGGACTACAGGACGGTATCCTGGGAGATCCCCGGTTGTTATCTTGGAGCTGAGTTGTGTTCTCTTACTGCATTTTACTTGCCTTTGTAATAATTGTTGATGTCCTTCATATCTCGTGTTACTTATTTATACTGGTTATTTCACACTGTTAAACCTTATATCTTATTTAACCTCAGTAGGGCACTGACCTTCCTCGTCACTACCCAACCGAGGTTAGGCTTGGCACTTACTGAGTACCGCTATGGTGTACTCTTGCCCTTCCTGCGCATGTTTTTCATGTGCAGATCCAGGTACCTCTACTCAGGCTTACCATTCTTGAGGCGAGGCGATCCTACGGGACTTCGAGGTATATCTGCCACGTCGGCAGACCGAGGAGTCTTTTTCTATTCCTGCATCTAGTATTTAGCCCTTTTGTACTTTATGTTCTTGATTAGACATTCCGGAGATTAGAGCTATGTAGTGTTTTTCTCAGCTTGTGGATCCGTGAGTTTCCGAGTTTTGGGATAATGTATCAGATTTGAAAAGTTGTGTGTATATGCTGAGCGGCATTTAAATACTATTTCTTTCAGTTATTCGGCTTTGTATTATTTATTCCGCAAGATTAGTTTGTTTCCGCATTTCTTAGGCTTAGCTAGTCGTAGGGACTAGGTGCCGTCACGATAGTTCACGGACGGCGAACTGGGGTCGTGATACCTACTTAGGTCGCAATTGCGGCCATTTACTTCGCAAATGCAGTAGAGTTCTTCGCAAATGCGAACTCTCCCTAGTAGCCCAAACTTCGCAAATGCGATGGCTGCTTCGCAATTGCGGCTGTCGCATTTGCGACCAATACATCGCAAATGCGATGACAGCAGTACCGCCACTCAATATTGAGGAAAAATCTTTCCGGATCTAATCCGAAACTCACCCGAGCCCTCGGGGCTCTATACCAAATATGCACACAAGTCTAAAAGCACAACACGAACTTGCTCGCGCTCTCAAATTATCAAAATAACTTCTAAAACCACGAATCAGACGGCAAAATGCATAAAGATCAAACTAAACTTCAAGAACATCTAGAATCGCAACCGAGCGTCCGAACCATATCAAATCAACTCCGAATGGCGCCAAATTTTGCAGACAAGTTATATATGACAAAACGAACCTACTCAATGCTTCAAATCATGCATAAAAACCTCGAAACGAAGAATCATACCTCAAGTCAAAATCAATGAACTTTGAAACTTCAACTTCTACAACCGATGCTGAAACCTATCAAATCACCTCCGATTGACCTTAAATTTTGCACACAAGTCACATTTTCCATTACGGACTTATTCCAACTTCCGAAATCGAAATCCGACCCTGATATCAAAAAGTCCACTCCCGGTCAAACTTCCCAAAAATCCAACTTTCGCCATTTCAAGACTAATTCAACTACGGACCTCCAAATTACAATCCGGACGCACCCCTAAGTCCAAAATTACCCAATGGAGATAACAGAATTGACAAAACTTAGTTTCGAGGTCAAATGCTAAAAAGTGAAACTTGGTCAATTCTTCCAACTTAGAACTTAAATATTGAAGTTCATTCTTCCAAATCGATTCCATAATTTAAAGACCAACACCGACGATTTACACAAGTCATAATACATCATGCGGAGATACTCGAGCCCTCAAATCACCGAGCGAAGTGCAGATACTCAAAATGACCAGGCGGGTTGTTACACTTATATATGAATTTTATACACGATTCATACATTATACAACTATTTTTCAACTTTCGTACAACATTCAAATAAAAAAATATATATAACTACAATAGAATACAATTTACCTACAATTATAATACAACTTTACTATAATTTCATAAATGTATTGTATGTCATGTGTTCTCCTTCTTCTTCTTCGAGTTTAATCTAAAATTCAGCCAAAATCAAGTCTAATCTTCACCAAAACACCCTCAAAATTGAGACATAAACTCCAAACAATATTCCCAATTGTTTGCAACAACACGCAGTCCAAAAAAATAATAGTTTTTGAAAACCCAAATTCGATTTCAAAGCTTCAAAGCTTTTTAATGGCTGTCAATGGTGGAGAGTCAAAATACTTTCAAAATTTATAATCCTACAGAGAATTAGGAGAGATTAAAGTCTTCGCATATGTTATAGCCCAACTAAAGCGAAGTGAATCTTCGGGCTTTGCAATTTTAACTTCCTTAAGCATTCGTCTTTTCAAATCATAAACTGATATTCCTTATGAGTCTTCAGGCTTTGCAAGAGAGAGAGAGAGGGGGAGGGAGGGAGGGAGGGAGAGAGAGAGAGAGAGACGAAAACGGAGAGAGAGAGTGGGCAAATATAAAGGGATAAGGAAAAACTGATATTCCTTATTCAATTCCTCATATAAAGGGATACTCATTTAAAACTTATTTGTATATAATTGGTAAATTTTATATGACCATGTAATTAAGTTAAAACTTAAGTAGTTTGAGGGTAATAAGGTTTTAAACAGTGTATAGGAAGGTAAAAATTACTTTTTAAAAAAGTTTGATTAACGGTAAGAGTAGATGTGGCCCAATAATATAACTGGGGTAGATATGAACAATATACTAAAGTACAGGGGTATATTTGGCATTTTCTCATAAATAAGTACCAAGAAATATTCAAAATAGAGTTAAAGTGTTCATCATCTAATATATTGATCTTATGTACTTCAATTTGCATTGAATTTCTAGATCAATCACATAGTATGTGTTTGCCTAATTTTAACTCAAGTTTTTTTTCGTGCGTATTCATTGATACTTAATTTGCATTAATTTGTTGACAAATTACTTATATCGCTAAATGATTTTAAGGTCTAGCATCCATAACATTTATGATTTTATTTAGAAAACTTCATAAATAGAATAACCCAATCTTATGTACCAACAAGGATTGTGGTGGAATGGTAAGTACTCCTTCATCCTTAATCAGAGGTCTCGAGTTTCAGCCCAAAGTATGAAGTCGTCTTTGTTAGGGAATGCTTTATCCCCAATGTGAGACTTTCCGGCGTCTCACATTCCAATCCAAAGTCATGTTATATCCTTCTTCTTATCAAGCAACTCCTTTTTGTCGTATTCAATCTTCTGCCGTATAATAGCCAATATTCCAAATTAAGTCCATAGACCTAGTCACTGCCCACCATGAACCCCAAATCACTCAAAACTTTCTCAAGGCGGGTAGTCATCCTACCACAGAACCCATATGCTACTCTGCCACTCTCCCACTTTGGTCAAACTCACTCTTTTAAGCAACTACTCGACTCTTGTTTCTCACACTTGGCCTTCAAGAAGTTTATCCACCGCAAGACACCTCCCACATGTCCTTCCTCATCCTTCGCTGCCCAGTTATTGCCTTAAGTCAAAATGCATCTTGTAGAATTTGAACCAATAGATCGCTACCAACTTTAAACCTTTTTGGAGATCATCTTTCTCGAGCCATCAACACTAGGAACGCTGATTCGATACTGAACCACCGCACACCGCGATACCTGATAGCCGCTTCTCCGGCACCATTTCACACTACCTTGTCCCGAGAGAGACTTGACGAAGACCATAACACCGGTGAACTTTACACATTCAATCAAGGGCGACTACACCACATTATTGATGAAAATTCTACCACGCTCGAAAATACCAAGCCTCGTTACTCCATCAACCCAAATCTGAGCATTCGTAGTTCGATTGCCTTTCCTCCGCCGGAAATAAAATACTAAATCCTTGAATCATGCAGTGAGTAAACCTCCTTCCAAGTCATACTGCTTCGATGCATAGACAAACATTTTACCATTACACAAACACTAAGCGATAGCAACGCACTAATTATGATAACAGTCAATGCCAAATCTCAAAACCTTGGGTATCACTGATATTGAGCTGAAACGATAGAACGGACTTCCGTAACGCGACAACAATAGCCCAATCAAATACGCTGGGATAAACATCCTGCATCACATCTGTAGTTCCATTACAATTCCTCAATTCCCAATTTATAACAAGCACTTCACGTCGCATAAGATCGAATAGGAAAGAAACAAAGGCATAAGCCTCGAAGGAATTAAATTGCACGATGAGGAATCAAGAAGTGAAGTACTCCTAACAGCCATGTAGCCTCTCGAAGATAAGTACAGACGTCACCGTACCGATCCGCAAGACTCTACTAGACTTGCTCATGGCTCATGAGACCTAAGTGAACCTAGTACTCTGATACCATGTTGTCACGACCCAAAATCCATTAAAGGTTGTGATGGCGCCGGATGCCGCTGTCAGGCAAGCCAACAATAATTAATTAATTTGGTTCTCATTTTTAGTATTTTCGAAATCATAATTTTCTTCAATTATTAAATAGTAAAAGACGGAATTTACAAAGTAAATAATAATATTCTAACAATTTCAATACTGAACAACCTATAATCAGCCCAAAACTCGATGTCACAAGTGCATGAGCATCAACTAGGAAGATAAAATAAAATACAGTATTTGTCCCGAATACAAATTAGATAGGAAAAATACATAAGTAACTCTTAAGGATGCTCTGCTGGCTGCGGAGTAATATGGAATTGCAGCTCACCTAAGTCCTCGTGAATAACCACGCCTCTGCTCTCACAGGGCCACTAGACGCATTTGTACCTGCACAAAGATGTGCAGCAAGTGTAGTATGAGTATATAAATCAACGCGTACCCAGTAAGTATCCAGTCTAACCTCGAAGAAGTAGTGACGAGGGGTTGACTCCGACACTTACTATAGGCTATAAATAAAATACCGATGATATAATTAAGCATGGATACCACATATTGGCTGTAAGATCAATATCATGAAGTGAGTAACCAATTTTCAAATTTATTTTTCATCATTTATCATTTTGTATCTTAGGATAATGAAGCAATATTAATTATTATAAATTCCAAATCAAACAATTCGGTCATGTGCAAATCATGCCGAGGTCGTACGGCCCGATGCAATATAAATATTTAAATTGTGCACTGCCGAGGGTTGAACGGCACGAAGCATAGATGCGCTTATTTGCTACCGAGGCGTTTGGCCCGCTCCACAAAAGAGAAAATACATCAAAACAACCAAATCAAGTTTTATTAAGGAACAAATATTCAAAGAAATGCCAATTCTCATTAACGATCAAGTAAAATAAGTTTAACCTTTTTCCAATTCCTTGATCAAGTTTCAATATTTTTTAAGCAATTAAATTGACAAGTAGGTTGCAGACATCGCAAGTATAATATGATTTAGGTCCTAGACTACGAGGAAATTAAGCATTATAGTAGCTAAGCACGGACTCTCGTCACCTCGAGCGTACATATTCCCCACAAATAGAAGCACATATTAAATAAATTCACCTATGAGGTTAGTTACCTCTTACAAGGTTAGAAAGGAGACTTACCTCGCTCTGAAGTTCCTTAGTCGGCTCCCAAGCCTTTCCAACAACTCAAATCGATGCCCAACGCTCCAAAACTAGTCAATAAATAATCAAATCCATAAATATATACTCTAATACTCATTATAATCCTATTTACAATAATTTCCAACTCCGTTGGACAAGTCGATAAAATCACCCTCGGGCCCACGTGCTCAAATATATAATTTATTCCAAATTCCGTGCCTAAATTCGTGGTCAAAATCCAAAAATACCAATTTCTAGGTTTTTCTTCAAAATCCCATATTTCTACAGATTTTCATGTCTAAAATCATGTATAGACCTTGTATTTAACTCACGACTAGTAGAAATTACTTACCTTATAATAGATGATGAAACCTCCTCTTCAAAAGCTCCAAAAATCGCCCAAGCTGTGTGAAAAATGGGTGAAATAAACTCAAACCCCGATTTTAAAACATTTTGCCTAGCACAACACCTTCTTTTTCGCGTTCGCGACCCTCTGATCGCGTTCGCAAAGGCCAGCTGACCCGCCCCTTCACGTTTGCATTCCCTTCTACGCGATCGCGTAGGCCAAATAACCTTAGGCCCAGCTCCCTGCTTTCTTCTTCGTGTTCGCATTCACTGGTGTGCGTTTGCGAAGGCCAAACCCAGCACCCCCACAGATTCCTCTTTGCGAACACAGGACTTCCTTCGCGTTCACGAAAAAGGAAACCAGACACCAGCAATAGCAGTCCAAAATAACTCCAATTTGATCCGAAACACACCCGAGGCCCTCGGGACCCCGTCCAATCACACAAACCAGTCCCATAACATAATAGAGACCTGCTCGAGGCCTCAAATCACATCAAACAACATCGAAATCATTAATCGCACCCCAATTCAAGCTTAATGAACTTTAGAACTTCAAACTTCTACATTCGACGCTGCAACCTGCCAAATCACGTCCGATTGACCTCAAATTTTGCATACAAGTCACATTCGATATTATGGACCTACTCCAACTTTCACAATCGGAATCCGGCCCTGATATCAAAAAGTCCACTTCTTGTAACGACCCGACCGGTCATTTTGAGATCTAGCGTGTCGCTTGGTAGTTTGAGGCCATGAGTAGCTTCACTTCAGGTATTATAACTCGTACGCGTGGTAGGAATTGAAATTCAGGATGTTCGGAGTCGATTTGGAAAGAGAATTCTCATTTCGGAAGCTTTAAGTTGGAAGAATTGACTAAGGTTGGATTTTTGAGTAAACAACCTTGGAATCAGGATTTGAAGGTTCCAGCAGGTTCGTATGATGATCTTGGACTTGGGCGTATGTTCGTATCGGGATTTTGATGTCCAGGGAGTGTTTCAGCATCTATTATGGAAGTTGGCATTTTGGAAGAAATTTAAAAATATAGGTTGAAGTGTATTTCAATGTTATCAATGTCCGTTTGGGATTCTGTGTTTGGAAATAGCTCTGTATGGTGATTCTGGTATTGGTAGCGCGTCCGGATGTGGATTTGGAGGTCCATAGGTCATTTCGGAGTCGTTTGGCAAAAAGTTAAAAAATTGAAGGTTTTTGAGAAGTTTGACCAGGAGTGGATTTTTTGATATCAGGGTCGGATGTCAAAATTTGAGGTCAAACGGATGTGATTTGACAGATTTCGGCATTGAATACATAAGTTTGAAGTTCTAAAGTTCATTAAGTCAAATTGGAGTGTGATTCATGATTTTAGCGTTGTTTGATGTGATTTGAGGCCTCGAGCAAATTCGTGTCATGTTTTGGGACATATTGGTATAATTGGTTGGGGCCCCAAGGGCCTCGGGTGGAATCCGGATGGTAAACGGATCGAGTTTTGACTTGGAAGAAAGGATGAAGCAGCTGCCTTCTGGTGTAATCGCACCTGCGAGGTTTGGGCCGCAGGTGCGGAGCCGCAAAAGTGGCCAAGAGGGCGCAAATGCGATTTTTGTGGGGATGTGCTGGGACCACAGATGCGGTCATCTCGTCATAGAAGCGAGACCGCACTTGCGGAAGGGAAGGCGCAGAAGCAGATGTGGGCAGCTGGGGGATGACCGCAGAAGCGGAACATTTGCCGCACCTACGGAACCGCAGAAGCGGTCAAGTGACTGCAGGTGCAGGGATCGCTGGGCGGAGAAGGATTTTATAAACGTGACTTGACTCATTTTTCTTCCACTTGTCACTTGGAGGAAGCGATTTTGGAGTGCTTCAAGGAGTGATTTTCATCAAACAACACAAGGTAAGTGATTCCCACTTATTATGAGTTAAATACATGGTTTCTATAAGGATTTAAATATGGAAATTAGTAGAAATTGTGGGGTTTTGGTAGAAAACCTAGAATTTGGTATTTTTGATTTTGACCACGAATTTGGGCATGGAATTGAGAATAAATTATATACTTCAGTTCGTGAGGTTATGGGTAAAATTTATCTTCGAAAATTTTAAAAATCCGGGCCCGTGGGCCCGAGGGTGATTTTATCAACTTTTCGAGCTGAGTTGGGAATTTGTTTAAATCTAATTGTTGTGAGTATTAGAGTATATTTTTATGGGTTTGCACAATTATTGACTAGTCTTGGTGCGTTGGGCATCGGTTTGAGTCGTCGGAAGGGCTTGGGAGCCGAATATGGAACTTCGGAGCGAGGCAAGTCTCTTTTCTAACCTTGTAAGAGGAAATTAACCACATAGGTGAACTAAATTATTATGTGCTTCTATTTGTGGAGGCTACATATGTACAATGTGACGAGAGTCCGTAGGTAGCTACTAGCTATGCCTATGTACGGTTAGTTTTAGGCTTACATCATGCCTTGTTGATATTGTTATTGATTCATGTTTATTGCTTGCCTTGAGAAGGAGCGAAATTGAGCTTTCTTATTAAATGTTTTGAAAGGAGTTGAAATTGAGGGAGAAATTGGGATCTTAAAAGTTTCATTTGAACTTCGTATTTTGAAAAGAATGCAAGAATACTATAATAACTTAAGAAACCTATGTATAACCGCGTCGCACGTATGATCCGCGAGTGGGGTAATTCTTTAAATTTATATTTTACCGTGTCGCATGTGTCGCATGTGTCACACCTCTTTTTTCACTAAACCCCCGGAAGGCGTAATAAAGGGAGTTTTTCCAATTAAAGGACAATCGAAACAGGATTTATTTATTAAAAGATTCAGAGTCGCCACTTGGGAGATTTATGGTGTCCCAAGTCACCGGTTCAAAAATCTCGAATCGAGGAAGAGAATGACTCTGTTTAACAGTCCGCGAACCAGAAATCCGGGTAAGGAATTCTGTTAACCCGGGAGAAGTGTTAGGCATTCCTGAGTTCCGTGGTTCTAGCACGGTCGCTCAACTGTTATAAATGGCTTAATTATCTGATTTTAGTGCATTTTTGAACCTATGTGCAATTTTAACTTTTGACCGCTTTTATTTAATTATTTTTAAGAAAGATTGCAACGCTATTTAAAATATGTTTCGAGCCACGTCACATAAATGCACCCGTAGCCCATAACACATTTTATCTAACATTGAGATTTGGATTTGGGTCACATAAATGTGCACCCGAGTTTAGGAACGTAAATTACTAAAATAACGCGCCTAAAGCAACTGCGCGTTTTTAACTTTGCGAGGGCCATGGAAATTCAACTAAATGGCACGCCTCCATTTATGAGGATTAGCAATTAGTTAAACTACGTATATTCACTTTTTACATCTAATTAATTTAGGTATCGCAACCACGCCACGGGAACCATACCCGTAGTTGCAATAATTTATTAAATGCGCCTAAGTGAGCCACGAGTGTCGAGCATGTCATAATGTTTTGCAGAAGCTCGGCAAAATCATTATACTATATATGCCACCTCCCTATGTCAAAATCACTTATTCCTCAATGCTAATCCCATTAGAATATACAATTCTAATTTGATATACAAAATATTAAGATCAATGGCCAACGTTTTAGTAATTTAAACTTCTACAACAGTCTGACACATGCGACAAAATGAAGCATCAACCAATTTGGTGCTCTCACCTCTCAGGAATGCAGAACATTTCCAGGAGCTTTGGCACCAACCACAAGAATACGCCAATACATGAATTCTATTGTAATGGCGCCGCCCAAAAGGCACCACAAGGTTAAAATAAAACTACACTGATTCACGGCTCAACATAAACAATAAAACAGATCAAAGATAATTTCATTAACAACAAAAAAGCTAAAAATCACCTTAACTTCAAACAACGCCCATTTTTATTAACTGTCGCTAATTCTCAGAGATTCCAGCCATGTAAAGCAAAACCAATAATATTATATGATAGTCTTAGGTACGTACCTAATTTCCAACAAGCCAAAGGAAAATCAAAAGAACAACTGAACGGGACCGGAACTTTCAGCGGCACCGGAAAATCGAACAAATGGCTCGGACGGAACCTCCCCGCTGCGTGTGCTCTAACATGGATGCGACTGACACGGCAAAGAGCAACGGAGCAAAAACATACAAAGGCTAAACGGATCGCTGGATTTAACCAAACACTCGGCCAGATCTGAAACTCGTCACAAATGGAGAAAGGAAAGGACGGAAGCCATGAAACTTCGTGGGTAAAATGAGGTGTACTGTCCGGCGTGAGGGGTGGTCTGTTGGGTTTGGTTTTCACTGAATTTTGGCGTGAGTTAGGAGCTGATTTCGTGAGATTTCGGGGTGGGATTTGGCGTGGAACGAAGGTGTTTTTCAGGGCAGCTTTGTGATGGAATTGAAGAAGGAGACCAGGAACGATGGGTTTGGGGTTCTTCTGTGTGTTTTCGTTGAAGAAGACGAACAATAGGGAAGGGCTGAGGTCGTTGATGGAGACGACTACAAAAGGGGGAAGGGGTACGGTGAATTGCGGCTCCAGCTTCTCTTTTTTCAGGCGTATTTTTTTGTCCCTCCTTTTTCAGATTCTTAAGCATTATTTTATAGGTAGAGTTTAGGTTTAGGTTATTATTTTGTGTATTTTTCCAATTAGTCCCTAGGTCTTTTTGTGTTAAGTCCCTAGGGTCTATTTTATTTGTTTTTATTCCAAATAAAAGTCTAGAAGGGTCCCTAGGCTTAATGGACTAATCCGAATTGGGCTCTAAAACTCTTAAAATTGTAATCCAACACCTTAATTGACTCCTTTTAAAATAAGATAAAAATACTACACAATGCCAAAACTAATCCTAATTAATTAAACCAAACATAAAACTATTTTTGTGTTTTCGAAATTATATAGAGATAAAAACAAGGTACTATTTTTGTATTTTTTGAAAAATATATAAACTAAAATATTTTTGTAATTTTCCATTCTTATGACGAAAATAAAGTAAAGAAGTCAAAAAATAGTTGAAATAGCTATATTAGGCCTAAATTAAATATTTACATGCTAAAATATAAAAAAATCTTGGGGAGGGTCAAAAATCACATGTCTACAGCATGTATGATCCGCAAGCGGGGTGATTAGATGTCTCTATGGTTCGCGTCGTTCGACCCTCGGCAGTACACAGTTTACATTTATGTTGGATCGGGCCGAACGTACTCGGTGAAGTTTTGTGTGTGATAATAGAACTGAAAGCCCCTTTTTATAATTGGTATAGCTTCATTGTTTGAGAGATCATTTGTTTTAAATGAGGGAAGTAATTTGAGTTCTTAAATGTGGTGAAGCATTGATCAATATTTCCTATTCTGAGTTTTATTGTTACCTCTACATATCATGGTTAATTAGAAATTCATATTATTATATTGTTGGCCCTAGTAAGTGTCGGAGTCAACCTCTCGTCACAGCTTCTTCGAGATTAGACTGGATACTTACTGGGTACGCATTATTTTCGTACTCATACTACACTTGTTGTACATTTTGTTGTACAGGCACACGTATGTCTATTGGCCTTGTGGGCGCAGTGGCGTGGTTGATACGGGGACTTAGGTGAGCTGTATCTTTTGAGACGATCCGCAGCTAGCAGAGTCTCCTTTAGAGTACTTGTATTATCTTTTCTGTCCAAATTTGTATTCCGGACAGTTATTGTATTTTATTTTATTTCCTAGTAAATGCTAATGCACTTGTGACACCTGGTTCTAGGATGATTATGGGATGTTCAGTATCGAAAGTGGAAAACATTATTATTTATTCTGTAAAGTTCATCTTTTACTAGTTAAATTGAAGGAAATTTACAATTTCAAAAATTATTAAAATGAGAAATTAATTAACTATTTTGTGTTGGCTTGCCAGACAGTGGTGTCCGGCGCCAGCACGATCTTTAACGGATTTTGGGTCGTGACAACATGGTATCAGAGCACTAGGTTCACTTAGGTCTCACGAGTCATGAGCAAGTCTAGTAGAGTCTTACGGATCGGTATGGAGACTTCTGTACTTATCTTCGAGAGGCTACATGACTATTAGGAGCATTTCCCTTCTTGATTCCTCATCGTGCAATTTGATTCCATTGAGGCTTATGCCTTTATTTCCTTCCCATTCAATCTTCTGCAGCGTGAAGCGCTGGTTATAAATCGAGAATTGAGGAATTGTAATGGTACTACCAATGCTGTGCGAGATGTCTCTCCCTGCGTAGTTGATTGGGCTATTGTCTTCGGCTTGCGGAAGGATATTCTGTCATTTTAGCCCAATAGATGTACTTCTGAGAGCTTGAGGCAATGCACAGGTTGCTATGATGCTCGTGAGTTGTTATCTCACAGTAGTGATGTGATGGTAAGATACTTGCCTATGTGTCGGGGCAGTGAATGACTTGAAAGGAGGTTTACTCAGTGCATGATTCAGAGATTCGGTATTTTTATTTCTGGTGGAGGAAAGGCAATCGGACTATAAATGTTCAAGTTTGGGTTGATGGAGTAATGAGACTTGGTATTTTCGAGCATGGTGGAATTTTCATTTGTGATGTGGTGTCAATTTCCTTGTTGAATACGCTAAGTACGCTGGTGTTATGGTTTTCTTCAATTCGCCTTTGGAGAAGAGTAGCTTGAAATAGTGCCGGAGAAGCGGCTATCAGAGATCGCGGTGTTTGGTGGTTCAGGATCGAATCGGTGCTCCTAGTGTTGATGGCTCGAGAAAGATGATTCTCGAAAAGGTTTAAAGTTAGTAGCGATTTATTGGTTCAAATGCTACAGAGATAGATTTTGATTTAAGGCAACAACTGGGCAGCAAAGGATGAGGAAGGACATGTGGGAAGTGTCATGCGGTGGTCAAATTTCTAGAAGGCCAGGTGTAAGAAGCAGAAGTCGAGTAGTTGCTTAAAGAAGAGGGTTTGACCAAAGTGGGAGAGTGGCAGAGTAGCATATGGGTTCTGTGGTAGGATGACTACACGCTTTGAGAAAAGTTTAGAGTGATTTGGGATTCATGGTGGGCATTGATTAGGTCTACAGAGTTTATCTGGAATATTGGCTATTATACAGGGGAGATTGGATACGACAGGAAGGAGTTGCTTGATAGGAAGGAGAATACCGCATGACCTTGGATTGGAATGTATTTCCGCACCTTTGGTTGATGTCCATGAGGAGTGAACAGACTTGTAAAATTGGTGAATGAGCACAGGCTCGGGTGGGTCATCTCCTGCGAGAAGGTTAGCGGTCGTGTGGTGTTGACAAAGCTTCTATGAAGAATTCTACTAGCTATCCAGTAAGAGGTCGGATATATAAATGGGGCTGGTAATTCAGAGTGTTCATAAAGGGTTTAACAGAAGGATTTTGAGAAATTTGGCGGGTTGATTGTGCAAGATCAGGTCGACGATGAAGAAAGAATCTTGATGGGTTCCAGAGTTATGTAGTAGTAGCTTCAAGCTAAGTGGGAGAGCCCCACCGAGTCAACGAATTTGGATTTGCATGGTTGTCTACTTGTGAAGTTTCTAGCTATCAGCATGTTGGTGGGTTATTACGACTAAGGAAAGAGAACATCAGTGTTAATTTGAGAAAAGGATTTGAGGAATGTGCTCTATAATTTGCCTTGTCGATCCATGTTCAGGCTTTGGGAAGGTTCAGGATTTATGCTTCGTGTAGAGGTAATTTACAAGGAAATTGATTCAGCCGAGTTCTTCTTTGAGAGGGTGTTCATGTGCTAGAGATCCTTGGAGTTTGATTATATTGGGGACCAAGTCAGAGTGGGTGACTCTCAACAACAGTCCTAGTGGATTCAAAAGCTAAAGTGTGATGCCTAAGGATTTCGAGTCCATACTATGGATGAGTCTCGAGCTTTTGCAGTGGGGTTTTCCGTGTTATCTTTGGTCTACGGTGTATCATGAGAGGAATGGGAGCATGTAATTTTGGATTCATAGAGGAATTATCAGAGTGGGTGTACCAGTTGAAGATGCGAATATGCGCATATGGAGGGTATGATACGGTTCGTGGGTTTTGAGACGATATGGTCTTGTGGAATGGGGTCACTCAGGATGAGTGAGGATTGAGTTCGTTATGTGTTGCATGAAGCTATCATTATTCCTATGGCAAGTCTAAGGTATATTAGAAGAAGTCAGATCGGTTGGCAATGGTTGAATTGGCATGATGGCGGCAATGATCAGCTCTTTCAGCGTGTTAAGTTATGTATGTGATTAGTGGTGGTATGTGCGAGGCTTGACGGTCGCCGTAGTTGATGTTATTTGAAGGCTTTCGCGCATTATGGCCTGTTATGTGCAGATGGATCCCGGAAGAGTTATGGTGGTTTAGACCACTACTTGAGGCTAGTATTTTCTGCGGATATGATAATTCAGTCACGTGTGCAATGATTCTCATGAAATGAGTTAATTGAATGGTTCCTATGTGATAAAGTGTTTACCCTATTAGTAGTTCAGGAGTTAAGATGAAATTCTCGTATTCTTGCGCATTAGCATGATTAAGTGCAGTGAACGACATGGGATTCAGAATTTGAGAATCAAGGTTACAATTTGGTATCGACAAGAATGTCAAGAGCTCGGATGAGCGGGAAAGGATTCAGATGGTTAGAGTAAGCTGGTATGGTCTTTAGCGTCACCTGAGATTGGTGTCCTGTGTAAGAGGCTTTGAGTACTGATTTTGGATGTTTGATTTGCTCTACAACAATAGTGCGGCTGGTGGTATGGATATGCAGACTTGTTACCTGGTGTAGAAGTTCGTGGAGCATGTCCCAGGGGAAGATTCTATAAGTGTGACATGTAGTCACTTGATTAATTAAAGATTGAAACCGAGTATGAAAATTGTGGAAATATCACTAATTTGAAAATTTATGCCTCTAGGGTGCTCGGTTCATTCAGTTATAGACTATGGAAGCTTGTTCTGGATTTGACGACTGTTCTTGTGTGTTATGGGAAGAAGGGTTATTGTGGATGCTAGAAAGGTTATTAGCCCAGTGCGGTACGAACAGAGTCGGCTTGAGGTCCGTAGATAGACCTAAATATGAATGTGGGCCCTATATCAGGCCGGATATGTTTATTTCATCATATCGCTCCTTATGAAGGAGTATTCAGATGTTGGATGTTATTTAATCATTGGCTATTTCATGTAATACTATGTTGTGTCGTGTGGGATGTGAAACAGCTTGATTAATTGCATAAGTGTTGAGGTTTCGCATAGCGATGGTGTTACGTGAGCAGGATGGCTTTCGAGATGCAGATCATATATCGCACCTTAGTCGTGCTTGAGTTTTGTAGCGTATGGCGTTATCGGTCTCCCAGGAATTGCATTATGCGCTTTGCTTGCTGGTGGTTGATATTCGGGTATTTCACAGGTATGAGCATTTTAGCTCGGTAGGTATTTCCTTTATAGATTATTATGTGTGGATCGGGTTGCATGCCGCAACAGTGTGATGTTGAGTACAGTTTCCCATATCTATTCTTGTGTATCTATTTCTCCATTTCTGAGGTCCATAACACATTTTTGGTTGTTTGAATTAGTTACGTGGGTTGAGTAGTTCTTTCCAGGGTTCGTTTTCCTTATGTACCATATTCGAGTTTGTAGCTTGTTGGCACATTGCGACATTATATGAGATTTTTAGTAGTGTCCGAGGTGGCTTGTTGCCTGGGAAGCTTATACTGGGTGAGACGAGATTATTGGACCTAGTGTCGCGCCCCTTTTTTCCTCGCGGAGTCTGGGTTTCGATATTTTGGGACAACTCCTTTCCTTTTGGAATGGGGTATGAGATTTGAAGAGTCACCACCTAACGGATTAAGGTGCGTTAGGGCACCTAGAACAGTTAACTCATGAAACTGGTTTACATTACCAGAGATTGGGTAAGGGCTCGAAATTACCTTGAGGGGAAGGTGTTAGGCACCCCTCGAGGTCCACAACGGTGGGCCCCGGCCAAACTCAATTTAAGTGAATTAGTCTTTAAGGAAATAAAATAGTTTAACAAATAGAGATTATTTTAAAACGGGAATTAAAGGGGTCCTAAGTTTATTAGCCTATAGGATCACTTCTATGCAATACTCTGTAACCTTCCCCAAATTGAGGTGTTACGCGTAGCATTAGTGAACAGGTCATCATCTCCTTTACTACCCAATTACCCTCCCCTTCAACTATTACCTAAGCGTTCTATCCAGTACGTACCTTATGCGTGCACTACCCGTCCCTTACCTATGGCCCTGGAGGTGTTTAGGACCTCTATTTAAGGCGGTTCTAGACTTACCTATGTTGTTTAAAAGGAGAAAACTAAGCGACAAACAAAAGTCAAGTAGGACTGTCACATAAGGATCAATCAAGTAGGCTCATGTTAACCTCCAAAAATAGACAAACATATGCACGTTGTTCAAACAAACAATTTTAAATGATTAAGACCCTATAGGCAGGATATCTAGATGAACATAATTTATAATAACTTTATCGAAGCGAGGCAGCGAGTACTTATCAGTTTGCCTACTGATTTGGTTAATACTCTGAATCCGGGCATATGTCAAACAAACAAGAAATCACAGTTTTAAACTCAGAGTTATTAATTATCCTACAGGCTTGACTAAGTGATAATCGGGCAGAATCCTATAGACATGGTATCTAAGTGGTAAATCGACTATTGATTTTAACAGGCAGATCTTATTCTTTAGATCCTATAGGCATGCTTTCTAAGTGTTGATACTGGTTACAAGCATTATTTCTTATAGACATGATATCTAAACACAGAAACTGATTTTCTATACTTACTTCCTATAAGCATGAGGTCTAAGTGTCAAGATTTATTTTGTACGTATTTCCTATAGGCATGATATTTAAGCGCAAAACTGATATTTCCTATTGGCATGATAACTATATGCAAAATTGATTATTTTATTTCTTATAGGCATGGTATCGAGGTGATTTTCAGTTCCTATACGTAGGATTTCTATTAGTCCTGCGTAGGCAGAATTTTTTAAGCACATTGCCAGGAAAATTATTATTCAAACAAACAAGATCCTATAGACATGGCTACTAATGCATAAAATGTGCGTGGGTCCTGTGGACATGATTTCTAATGCGAAGGATCTATGAACAGAATTTCTAGCATATGAGTGAAGTACAGAACAAAATAATTAGAAAGCCCTATAAACATGATCTCTAAACAAATATAGTGCTCACATAACCATCAATAATCCTATAGGCAGGATTTCTACCCTAGTTTCAAGCAAATATATAGAATAAACCCCCCTCCCCCAGCTTTTACTAATAACCCCATATCTGTTTCTTACAAGGATTATTACATTATTACATACCATTATGAAAGGCCCAATGTCAACCTAGAAGCAAGGCCTTCAAGCAAGTCTGATGTCCACAGGTAGTCCATAATACACAAGATGGGCTTCTGGTGTGTCAAAGTTCCCAAGGGCCTTAAGGACCCCGGGAAATGCTCATACCAGAACCTTTTTAAAGAAACAATTTTTGCAAAGAGCTTGGAAAGCCAGCCCCAATGTGTCAGACTTCAGAGGAGTCCTCATGGACCCTAAGCAGTGCTCACACTGGGGTGGCAGGACCCTAGATAATTAAGAGTAAGAGTTGGAAAACAGTATACAAGGGTAGGGGATAGTTTATGAAAAACAGTTTATTTTCAGAAGTGAATAGAAACGAGTTGCAAACAGAACATAATCATATTTCAGCAGATTGATTCAGGTACAGTTACCAGTAGTTAAACAATCACAACAAAACAGGAACACCGAAATCATAGGCAGAACAGAGTCACAATTGAGTCGAACAAGGTTTCACATTGCTGGAGTTGACTTAGTCTATTAACTATTACTAAGTGGAATCATATAAACATGTATTTAGCAGGGAGAAACATGCTGAAGTCAAATGATTAATCAGGCAACCATACAGAGAAGGTAGCAGGAATTTGAAGCATATTATTCTTGAAAGAGGTACACATAAATCGTGAATTGATCAGGAACATGCTTAGGCAGATTATCAGCACATAAAACAGGACAGGAATTGGGGCATGCTAGTTGAGAAATAGGTAAATAAGTGTCATGGATCAAACAGGAATATGCTCAAGTGTACTAACCATACTAACATATAAGACAGGGCAAGTTAAACAGGAAATAGGTCATGCTGGTTAAGAGAGAAATAAACAGGAACATAGAGCAAACAAAAGCATGTTGAAATTCATAATGAACTGACTACATAACATATAGAGGAGAGCATGATAACAGAAATTGAGGCATACCAGTTAAGGAGATAGCAAACATGAAGGTGAAGATGAATGAAATCCAAGAGTCTAGCCTTGGCTTTCAGTCGGCTAGACAGTGCAGCAATTCGAAGAAACTTAAGTTGTGTAAGTGTGCAAGCAAGAGTTGTGTGTATCAATGTGTGTGGGTGTTTTTCTCTGTTATTCCGTGTGTGTTCGTGTCTTTTAAAAAATCAGAATGGTGAGGTTATATAGCATTCAGCAGAGTAGAACAAATATGGTAAAGGAAATTAAGAGTTCAAAAATAAGGTATGCAAATCATTCAACCAGTTAATTAAGGCTAAACTCAATCAATTAATATGATAGGATCCGGAAAGGCCCCTTAAATTAGGGAAAATCTCATACGAAATCAATTAGCGCACAGAATTGAGGTTTAATAAGGTATGAAATAAGTCAGAGACCAATTATAGGTTGGTCAGAACAAATCAAACCCAGAAATCAGGCCAGTAGCATAATTAATGAAGGCAGTACCAATTATAAGTCACATATAAGGAAAGAATAAATAAAAATCTCAGAAAGATACCAATTTTAAAAAGAGAAATATAATTTCAAACCCTAATTAACCAAGTAAACCAATTAATCCGTTTATTTAACAGAACCAAAATAAACAGGCAAGAACAGTGAGGCAAATAATTGAATAGCGGACAACTTTAAGCATGTAGATGCACAGAGATGAAACATCAAGCAAAGAAACTAGTCGAATAGTAAAGAAGAAAGGCCGGAGTTGAGCCTTTAGGCATTTTAAAGCATTTGCAGAAAATTAAAAGATGAAACCCTAGTTTTTTTAGGGAAAAACGAAAAATCAGCCAACAACAATAAGAAAAGCAGCAGAATACTAAAAGAAAAGTAACAAACAAACTCAAACCGTTTCAGATCTAAGGAGATCTGAACGATTTAACCAGAAATAGTTAGGTCATGTAAAAAATAAACAGAGGTGAGAAAAATCCAGAGATTTGAAGCCATGAACACGAAGATACCAACACTCACAAACAAAGAGATGAACGTAGGCAGGTTCATCGAGAAAAATGAAGAGTTGAAGCCAGGTCTGTGTTGAATCTCTTCGATCCCATCAAACAACAAGGAAATCGAATAGCTAGTAGAGGTAGGAGGCCATATGTGGCCTAAAATCAAAGAGAATCCTCATGGATTGAAGGGTTTCTGGCGACGGCGGGCTAGGGTTAGGGGAGGGTTTGAGAGAGAAGAGAGGAGGGGGAATTCAAGGGTGGCGGACTTT